CTCTCTGGCCCGGCCCATCCAGACAGTTTTACCCAGCAAAGAGGACACCTGTCCAAGCCCTGAGCAGCCGGTTTCTCCAGGAGATTGCTGTGGGAAATGGTGTCAAAGGCTTTACTAAAGCCTGGGTAGACCCACAGCCTTCCCCTCATCCACTAAGCAGGTCACTTGTCACAGAAGGAGATCAGGTTAGTGAAGCAGGACCTGCCTTTCATAAGCCCATGCGGACTGGGCCTGATCGCCTGGTTGTCCAGTATGTGCTGCATTATGGCACTCAAGATGATCTGCTCCATAACCTTCCCTGGCACCAAGGTCAGACTGACAGGCCTGTAGTTCCCCAGATCCTCCTTCTGGCCCTTCTTGTAGATGAGGCTGTAGAAATGAAGGAGCTCCCCTCCCTGGTGCAGCTCCCACAGCTGTGCTCACTACTGCTGTCCCGTACTGGCACAAGAGCAGGGCACAGCCAGCAGCCTAACACCCAGGCAGCAGCCTGTTCCCACTGGAGCTCTGTCAGGGAAGCTGCATCAGTGATGGTGGGTGGAAAGCTTGCGAGGCCATGGCTTTCTGCTGTGTGCATACCACTGCTCCCTCGTGGAGGTGGCAAAGCTTCCGCGCCCTTCCTGCACGACCTTCCTGCGCAAACTGCTGGCGCAAACTGCTGCTCCATGCCCTTGCTGCCATGCCACGCTCCGTCTGACCACCCTGTTGGCCTCACTCCTGGTCCCTGACACTCCCTAAGGCCTTCTTTTATAGATGTGGGGGCTTGGCCACCGCTGTTCCTGAGCCTACCCAGGTCCCACCAGCTACTCTAGCAAAAACTTTGGGCTCCTGATGACTCCCTCAGCTCCTCCTGAGGTTCCTCTGGTTTGGGTCGCCCCTGAGCACTGCGCTGGAGTGCTCCACTGCGGATCCTGCCAGCACTGGAGCTGCTTGTCTCAGCAAGCAGAACTTAGCCTTTAGCTTTTGAACTTAAAATTTCTGGCCTGAACAAGACGATGCTATTTTAGTTTCTTTAACTTGAGTAATACAGTCATGGGATCACATCAGCCCAATTAAAGCATCCTGTATACAATGGTAGTTCTACTGTACCCTTCACTTACTGTTATATTAACTTGAACCCCCTGGAAAAAAGGAGTTCTGTGAAAGGCATATCTGGTGACAGTACTGTGAGCTGGGGAATTTCCGAGTTAGCTTTAAAGATGAAATATTTATACAAATAGGTCTTATTCTGTCAACAGAGCAAATCAAGATTGAAAACATGCAGAAAAATCTTTTCAAAGTCATCTGTGATCTGTACATGATAAATTGGCTCAAGGTCAGAGGCCAGACTCTGTGCTGCACTTCTCTGAGGGCATACCTCTGAGGTAGAGGTCCGAGGGGGATGGGACAGTTAGAAAGGATAATACATTCCATACACTTCAGCCTAAATAACTCCCAGATTCTGACCTGCCTCAAGGTAAAATCCTCAGCAAGATCTGCTGTAGTGTATGGCAGCTTCCTCACTGCTGTCCACAAGCTGTTCCACAGCCCAGGGCTGCAACAGCCTACTGCTCTAAACTTATCTTCACCTACCGAGAGAGAACAGGGGCGCATATGGACGCTACTCCTTCGTGGGGCAATCTTAATACTTACTTTGGCCTCTGTATACGTCAGAAAAGGCCATGCCAGGATTAGGTGTCTTCTCTTGCAGATCACAGTACGTGACTGCCTTTGATAATGCAATTCACAAAGGAGGCTGGTTCGTGTGAATTGTTCCTGATCCAAACATAGGGTGGTAGAGACACATATCTGAGATGAGGAGACACTAGTGATTGCCTGTGAACTACGGTGATAACGTGCATTTAGCTGTGCTTCCCATCTAAAATTGACAATTAGAAAACATTTCTCAACTGTGTGGTACATTGTATTTCTTCAGAAAACACCAACCTTTCACTGGTTTACGAACACGACTTTCATCGACTATAAGGTGGAAATGTCGCTCTAAGGAAGAACAGACCCACTCTGTTCGCAGAACAAGTTTTCCCTTGACACATTACTTAAATAAAGACATTTTATGCAGTAAGGATGTGACCTACCTTTTTAGTCTGATTCACATTTACCAAACTGCAACTTCAAAATGCCTTTGCCATGAAGCTGAAGAATCTGGTTGTATTCTTTGGGCATCGCATGGAAACCCGGTTTAGGCAGCTGGTTGTCATAATAGTGATGGCTGATTGGCATCTTCTCTGTGGATTTTGAAAAAGGCCAGAAGCCATAGAGCTTCACATTCTCACACAGCTCAAGAGCAGCACTAGTGATCATAAAACCAGATGACAACCGGTAGGCTTTCACACCCTTAGTTCTCCAGAACTGGGCAAGACTTTTCAGATAGGTGGGGTGAAAAAATATTGCCCTTTGGGTTGCTCTGAACTCTTGTAGAGTGTGATATACTTTAAAAGAAGTGGCTGTGTTGCTTCTGAAGGAAAATGCTGGCAGTAAGAGGAAAGCATCTCCATAGACTGCAATGTTCTTCAGAAATTCTGTCTTCTTCTCATTCAGTTTGTTGTATCTGCAAAGTACAACAGTTTAGGAAAAGAGTGAATGGAATGTACTATTGATATAAATATTACAGACTAAAACAGCACAGCTGCACTTGCATATATATGAGTTATGAATTCTGCTGTATCAGTTCAGCATGTTTACATTGCAAATTTATACCCACCTGTTATATGTTGTCATGTGTGCAGTTTTGAAAATCTGGCTTTATTGTATAGTAAGAACACACTTCAAAGGACTGAATGGGCAACATGGGAGCTACTGAAGCAGATCAAATTCACTGCTAATGAGACCACGACCTGATCTATTCAAGAAATTTCAAAGGAAAATGAAAAAAAAAAAATTTATAAGTTCTCTGTTTAAAAATACATGGACTGTGATATGTACTTCATGTGTTTGTGAAATATGTTTCTTACATCAATAGGTATACAATAACCTCTCTCCATAATCTGGGTGTCTGCCCTGTGTAGAAATACAAGTATGCATGTGAGCAGTCTTGGAGTGTTAAAGATCAGTGTGTGCTCAAGATTTGCAAGGTCTTAGCGGCTTTTGACAAACTTTTAAAATAGCTGAAAATATAGGCATGTCTATTTATATCCTTCGAGTACAAAGAGAAGACATGGAGATCTGTAAAGATATAACTTCACAAATGAAGAGGATTTATCCTCAGATGCTTTGGTTCCCCAACAAACAGCAAAGAGACTTAGTTCTCACCATTTTCCGTGCCCCCAAATATTGAACAGTGAACTTCCAGAGCTATCAAAGAAGTAATAGAAGACACAGCTTGTTTCTTCTATAGGTCTGGGCTGTCTGAATCACCTGAATACATGGCGTTTGCACCCCTTTTGGGATTCAAAGCACTGGGTCCCTTTTTGTAGGTAGTTGTCTATCTGAGCAGTGTATTTTAAGGGCTACCAGAGCCCACTTTTCACAATTGATATTATCCCACTCCCCCTTCAAGTCTAGTTTAAAGCTCTGTCAATGAGCCCTGCTAGCTTGGAAGCAAAGACCCTTTTCCTCCTTTGAGAAAGGTGAAAAACCCAAAGCTGTGGCAGTGACACCAGCCACGGAGCCATGTAGTAACAGGGTCCCTCTGTTTCTTCCAGAGTTGCTGGCTGCAACTGAAGGAGAGAGGAAAAAATAACCTCCAGATTCCAGTGTTCCAGATTCCCTTACCAACTTCAGGCCCCAAGGCCCTGAAGTCTCTTTTGATCACCCTTGGACCATGCACTGCAGCTTCATTGCTATCTACATGGAAAAGCAGTAATGGGTAATAGTCTGAGGACTGCTCCAGGCTACGAAGTTTCCTACTGGTGTCCTCAACCTGGGGCCCAGGGGGGCAGCAGACTTGTCCAAGAGGAGGGTTTGTCTAGCATACTGGACCTTCTGTTCCCTTCAGGAGGGAGTTGCCTACAACTAGAAGCTGTCTTTTCTTCCTCGTGGAGGTGGTCATGATACAGGGGGTAGACCTTTCTGACCTTGGCAACACCTTTGGTGTAGATGGACCACTGTCCACATCATCCATTGACTGGCCTTCCACATCCACAGCCTCATACCTGTTGTACGGAGGCACCTGGGGAGGCGAGGTGGGCAAGGAGGGGGTTCACCTCCCACCCTGAGCGTTGGCTTGCCTCCATAAGGAGCGTTCAGGACAGAATTCAGATCTCTTCTTCCTTAGCTAGAACCCAGGACAACTCAACCTCGTCTTGTTTTCCTTTCCAGCTCTGCCACTGTAAGGTGCAGTGCAGCCCAGCTCCATTAGGACATAGAAGAACTCTGTTTCTTTCCTCCAAGAGAGTTCACCTACATTGTACACCCTGACAGACACAGTTCAAAAGCTGATTAACCTCAGCAATAATGACATCAGATTAACCCATACCCAAACATAGAATTAGAAATTAAAGTGAAAAAAGTCAGGATAGGTTTTTTGAGAGAAGAAACAATCTTAGGTCTGATAAATCTTGCCAAGTTGGTTCCTGCACCTCCTTCAAAAGCATTTACAGTGTTCTGTGAAGATTTAAATAATTATTTTTTTAAAATCCTAAAGTCTCTCATAATCTCATTTTGTCCTCACACAGGTTTCACTCCTAATTCCTTCAGTGTAACTCCTAATAATCCCAGTGTGGCTTAATTTGGCTAAAAATATGAGTGCAGCTGTGGCAAACCACTTTGACCAAGCCCAGACACATCGTGCATCAGCCACCAATGATGCTGAGTCACTGGACAGCTTTCCTTCCTCATACTCTTGTGTAGCCCCACTAACACCAAGGAGCTAAATCTATTTTTGGGGAAGCAATAATTCATCTTAATTTAAGTCAAAAAGGGCCGGGTGAGCATCAGGGTAGTTAGCACTCACTGCAAAAAAAAAAAAGAGTTCTCTCCTTGAATCAATGACAAATGACTGTTATGTCATTTCTGTGCTCACTGTACTTTTTCCTTCTTTCTTTAAAGGGGAAAAAAAAAAGGTTTGCCTGATGTTGTCTATTTGACAAATACAGATATGACAGACAATAAGATACAGTAAGATCAGTAAGCAGTAAATAACATGCCACAGCAGTCCTTTTCATAGATAAGCTGCAGTTCCAGCCTGCTGAAGATGTCAGATTAGTCAGACTGGCCTTATTAGATTTTCTTTTCATCAAGAAGGTGAAAAAAACCCCAACTTTGCTTAAAAAGAAGTGTGTGAGCAGCTTTCTTACGGATAGAGAAAATGGATTACAGAAACTGGGCCTCCATTCAGGAAACAGCCTTCATCCAAACAGACCCTAAGCACGTTACCTAAACACATGTGCTTACAGTCCTACTGATAGAGTCAGACACACATTTCCAAGCTTTCCTGATTTATGATTACAATTCCTATCTTATGCTGGGAGTCATTAGGGTGGGGAGAAAAGTTCTCATTCATCAATTTTACTCTGTCATAAATTGTGGATTGGTGCCAATTGAGGCAGTTGCTAATCTGGGTATTGCCGACTCCTTTCTGCTACAAAAAAGGCCAGGTTTAACCGATTTCCATTTAGACTGGTACATCTTTTACATGGGAACTAAGGCTTAATGAAGTAATCTGCATGCACTGCTCTCTATGCTGGTATCCCAACGGATTTCCAACAAAATCTAAATCATGTCAAACAATTATACAATATTGCAAAGAAACAGATTTGCAGCAGTACTTACTTCTGAGCTATGATACTCGGATTAACAGTCACAAGGTTTGTTTTATTGCCAACATCTTTGCTAATGCTTCCTGTGGTTGGAGGGAGGTTACACCTGAAATTCAGAAACACTGACTTAAACAGATGCGCCCCAGAAATGCTTCACAGTTATTATTTCCAAATTCCTCTCTTGTGCAATGACACTTTCATGTCAGCTCCCACGGATCTCTAAGCACTTTACGAATATTAAATAAGGCTTACAGCACTTATAGTAAAAATACTTAATCTACTGTACAGATGGTTAAAATAGGGCACATAGACCTCATTTTCATAAATCATATCACAAATCAGCAGCAAATTTAAAATCCTGGAAGGAGCCAGTCCATGAATGCCCTAGGTTCACTGCTAGGAAATACTGACCCTGTTGCCTAAACAATGCATTTCTTCTGAAAGTCTTCCATTATTTCCTGTTTAAAAACAGTCTGATTGATACCAGTCCCTCAGCTTGCACAGCAATGTTGACGGCTGTTTCATGACACAACAGCGTAACGCCCTCAATTGCAGAAACAGTTGTTTCTGTAAACAGGTAAAGAAAGCATTTCTTTTAAAGTGAGTCAGCCACTTAGTAAGTTTTGCATCTTCGTATGCAGATATCCCATTTTTAAAAAGACTGTTATCTAACTGGAAAGACTTCTTTTTTTTTTTTTTCTAATTTGAAAAGCCCAAGTATTAGTCAAAAGCAGGATACAAAATCCAGCAGACTGTGTGACTGGGCATCACTGAGAAAAGAACCTTCGCTTGGTGACTCTGTTCCCTTGAAGGAACTATAGAGTGTGAGTCACGTACTGAGAGAGTGGGCCAAATGATGCCCTGAGTATGCCTGGTTTTATCCACAGTCTATAGAGGGAGCTGAAAAAAAAAAATACTGAAATTAGATGTCTAATTTTTTGGATGGCTAACAGAAGGTGAGACAAATACCAGTGCAGTCAAACAACTGCATTAGTGAGCCAACCTAAGGCTAAGTAAATCCTTTGTTAAACCCAAGGTAAAGGTAAACACGTGACATTTAATACCAGTCTTTCTTATTTCAATTTCAGGGTTTTCTTTATCCTCTTCTTCTGATTAAAAAAAAGAAAAAGAAGAAATAAGGTTCCTTTTCCTAAGGGATGTTAAATGAACAGAAATTTCAGGTTCTCAGATAATCACATTTCACATCACTGGCAAGGAATCCTTGCAATCATAGATCATGTATCCGTACAATCTTCCCTTTACTTAGGAAGCAGTGTTGTGAAATCTGCAAAGCAGGAGGACTATCCTTGAAGAGGCAGAAACGAAGAGTTGTCAAGATCCTTCCTCACCGCTACAAACTGGTATTGCCATCTTCCAAGCCTGCCAAGTTTTTACAAACATCTGACACCCTTCAGTAAGACAAAGCAGCTCCTACCTAAACACAAAGTCAGAACGATCGATTTCAGCTCCGCAGCTGGAATTTTTCAGAATGCCTCCATTTCCAACCACAGCACAGGTCTTGAAGGGATACACTGAAAGAGGAGAGGACTGCAAACAAATAAAAAGACACAGCCAATGCCTTATAAATCTTTTGATTGTTTCTTCGCGTCTTTAGTCATTTGTCCTTGCGAGTTTAATCCGGTAAATCCCAGTGAAAGCATTCATCGTTCAGCAGACAGGGTTGCCAGGCCTGAACAGCCAAGAGCCAAAAATAGGCAGCAATGGATTTCTATCATCAGCATTTGAGGGAATAATACTGGATTTGTAAAACTGGATGAACAACTTCTAAATACATTTAACACAAAAATTATCTAGTAGTGGACTGAATCCTTGACAAGGTAAGGAACTGAGTTGTACTGAAGATAGTTTAAATTAACTCATTTTCCTGTGCACTGTAACAGACCGAGGGTTGTCACATAGTCATTGACTTTGTCAGCTAACAGAAGGTAACTGTAAATGCTCATTATTTTGTCATCACACAATACATTCGATGTAAAATCATGAATTTAGGGGAACTTAAAGATGCTGTAAAGGACAACCACATGGCTTGGCTTAACTCATGGTGACTGTGATGGCTAACTGAAGAGGTTACTGTTTCTGGCTGTTCACCCACTCTACTCCTCTTCTTGTCAGAGGTTGCTGTCTCGCAGTGGGGAAGCTGAATGGGAGCGAAGTGCATCCACTTGTGAACCAGCACGGATCACAACCAAGCAAATTAATGTCAATTGTTGGCTCTTTCAGTTGGCATTAATATAGTTGGCTGTTATCTCAAGGTCTCAGAAACATCTCATACATCTCATTCAGCCTCTCCTGCTGTGGGAGCACTGACATCCAACAGAGGCCAACAGACAGGCTACTTCAACTGCAGAAACTGAACCCGCTAATAAAACTGAGTCAAAGCTTGCTTACACAAAGTGTTATCTTTCCTCATTCTCACATCAGCTTGCCCAAAGAGAAGCAGGAAGGGACATTTATGAACAAGACGAAAAGTGTGGGGAAAGTGGTAGATATCACATTGACTGGCAATATATTAAAAAACAACATGTCCATATACTTTGTTCAATTCTGCAAAGACAGTAGGAGAACACAAATGCCAGACAACTCTGGCTAGCTTACCGGGTTCACAGGCACATAAAACATGCTACTTTTTTCTTTCGTTCAGTTTAAATTTGGAACTACTGTAACCTCTATTGCAAACAAAGCTTTTAGTGATTCACAGCATCATTAGGAAGGACCAGACTCACAGCAGCTGGGATTCAGCTTCCTGAGGAGGGGGAGTGGAGTGGGAGATGTTGATCTCTTCTCTCCAGTATCCAGTGACAGGATGCATGGGAATGGTTCAAAGCTGCACCAGGGGAGGTTTAGACTGGACATGAGGAAGCGTTTCTTTACCGAGAGCGTGGTCAAACACTGGAACAGGCTTCCTAGAGAGGCGGTCGATGCCCTGAGCCTGTCAGGGTTTGAGAGGCATGTGGACAATGCCCTTAACAACACGCTTTAACTTGGCCAGCCCTGAACTGGTCAGGCAGTTGGACTAGGTGATCTGTGTGGGGCCCTTCCAACTGAAAGAGTCTATTCTATTCTATTCTACTCTATTCTATTCTATTCTGGTTTACCACCAAAATAGCCTTCATAAGTTATATGTCCAAGCCTGCACTGGAAATGTCATGGGAATATGAGGAATATGAAATATTGTTCCAGACTGAAATGCCCTTGAAAATGTGAATGAGAAAAGCAAGGCAAACGTTGTTAGAAGATTCACCCCTGAATTCAGCTGGCTTCCAAGCCAGGCTGCAACTTGTGTTCTGTAGCAACTCTACCTATAATCAGATCTATGATGCTCTGTCCATGCCTCCACCACTGCAGAGGAAGGCCAAAAAGAAGTCTTACAAGGTGAATGAATAAGTGCATGATGCAGGGGGGTGAAGGGTCTCCTCCGCAGGATTCCAAAAAAGCAGCTCTATTACCAACCCAAAATATCTATGATACTGCAATTATAGTAATAGGTAAAGATACAGTTCTTACCACAGGCAGCATCTTAAAAATGTCCTCTGTAATGAGGATGTTCTTTTTACTGTCCACTTCGTAACTCATGTTACTTCCCAGTGGGGTGTTGTTTTGAGAAGCAATAAAATTGTGAACTGCATCGCAGCAGGAAGCTAATTCTGACCTGCAAAAGACCCAAACAAAACCTGCTCAAAGACTGGCAAGTAAGTAGGAGAGCGGTGGTAGAGAACTAGATGAATGAAACCCAGTTCTAATTAACTAAACAACAGCTATATGTACCTCTATAATGTAATTTCCCTTGACTTGCTTGCAGAGCAAGTCCACTTTCACAGCAAATGTTCAGAAACTAATCAGACCAAGAACTCCTTTTCTTAGCCTGTTTTTCTCCCTTGGTCTCCCTTTCCCATAAAAAGTTGTAATCAGTCTTCTCCTTATTATTAATTGCTAAGATTATTATAGAAACACTGAGAGACTTCAGTCCCCAAAGAATTAATGATGTGATTTCAATCAACACAGAACAAGTGATTGTAACAAACTAGAAGGCTGAAGAAAGAAAGAACCAAGGAGATGAAAAGAACGGTGATGGGAAGTACTGGCTATAGTATTTGGTGAACAGCAAGATGGTTGTGAGCCAATTAATTAATAATTCATTGCTGCAACTGTTCAGCACAGTTTTCCTGCGCACAGCATCACAGATGTTAAATAGATTACATCACAACTTGCAAATAAAGAAGATGGACATCTTGGTGGTAGAGACAGACAGCTTTGCTGCTCCCCAAAACACCTAGCGGAAGTCCATAAATAGATAAGAGTTGTAAGGGATTCACTCAGACTTTATGTAGGAGTGAAGGCTACCACCTATCTTACAATTCTGGTTACCTCCAAACTTATAAAAATATTACGTGTGTAAACATCCTGTATCATTAACATTGAAATGCAATGAAAAGCCCCATCAGTCCTGAAATGCCGTAATTCATTTTGCTTTAGGGAACGATGTTCTCTCTGCTGCTGCCACTGGACCCAATTTTAAGACTCTAAGGCTGAAATATTCATGACCAGCCATTATCTATCAACTGGTAGGACATAGCTCTCTCATTAGGTAAGATACTAAGAGAACTACTAACGATTCAGAGAATAAAATTCACTGACAACAGAATTGCTTGGAATTTTGAAGAAGGTAACACAGCAGAGAAAAGGTAATTCCTGTCCTACGGCTGAAGGTTAACTGGAAAAAACCAAGGACATATTTATAGTTAAGAGCCAGAGGAATAGAAAAGTTTTATTTCATACTTTTTCAGTGAGTATGGTAAACCAACCCGTTGGAACTAGTTAAACAATACAGGCCAAATTCTATTTGAAAGTAAGGTGACCTTATTGCTTCATTCGGCTTTATCAACAATGTACACAGAGCCAACGTTCTAATAGTAATATTTCTGATGGCGAAGAAGCACAGTCTAGCACATGGAAGAACCCAAGGGTTGTGTTTCCTGGAAGTCAGGGAACAGAAAGAACAGGTCTGGGATAACTCTCAGTCTCATTTCTCTTGAAATAATGGTCAAAATGGGGGAGAAAAGGGTTGGGAAGGTTGGTTTGATTCATACATACAATACCAAAGGAAAGAGTACCATTTCAGCTGTGGGATGGCTTACTGGTATATATTAACCTGGTTTGAATACTGAGCTCTGAAACTCCTGTGTGAGAACACCATGAAGGGCTGAATGATGGGATGGCACAGATCTGAAATAATCATACTATGAGAGTTAACAGGAAATGTTAACAGCAAATATTACTCTTGAGTGAGGAAACAGCAGGATTCAGATTTGCAAAAGCCATATTCAGCTCCAATCCCTGAACACAGTGATTCCCGCTCTCTTGCCTGAAGCCTTAAGGTGTGGGAGGGTGTCTGTCCTCAATGAAAACCACCAGGTACAAGGGTGGTGATGGAACTGAGACTATGCTCCTGTGGGTCAGGAAGTGCACACATGGTGAAAAGCACCGCTCTGGGCACATAGTGTCCTATTTTAAACATGAGGAAAAATACAAATGGAGCAATGAGGCAGAACAGTCAAGTGATTAAGTCTGGAAACACTAGATGTTACTGAATCACTCTTGATGAGAGCCCACTTGCTTTTCTTTCTTGCACACTTTTTCCTACAACCAGCTCATTCTAACCTGTATAGTACTGCAGTAATAAGAGGATTCAGATACCACTGCCAGGCTCTGAGGGCACCTACAAGCCTCACGGCACCCCCTCCCGGGGCCACCCACACCCTGCCTGTGGCCCAGGACCCCTATCAGTCCCCCCTTGGCCATCAGTCCCTGCCCCAGTGACACCGCAGCAGGCCTGGTCCTCACCTGTGCCCACCCCATCCCCAGGGAGGTGGGGAATCACAAAACCCGTAATTCTGATTTCCTTGAATTTTTTCTTAAAGCTAAATGAAGCAGGCCTAAATATTAACGGTGTCAACAACAGGACGTTCAGAGGAGAAGGAATAATGCCAGAATATTCTTGTCCAGTTTTGGTAAAACAGCAGTTTTGTGTGTGTGATGGCTAGCAGAACCTGAAAAAACAACTGCTGAAAGACAACATTAATTACTACAGATGATGCGTTTTTGCTTTTTATTACTCATTCCACAAGAATGAGTGCTTCAATAAAAGCAGAAACAGCCTGGAAGAAAAACAGGTATCAGAATTAATAACAAAGTAATAGTTTAAATTAATATTATGGATCCACTGAGGAAGTAAAACATCTGGCTGAACACCCATCTCAGACATGCGTAAGAACATGGATGGAGCATGTTGTTTCCCACTGCTATGCAATGAGTCCACACTGAACTGTAGGCAGCAATAGAGGACAGCTGCCTTGATTGTACATGTTTCCAAACCCCTCTGCGTAACAAAAACACTTCACATGGATAGTCCACTCTAGTGGAAGTCAGTAAGTATCTGCAGGCTCTAAACATGCTGATGTAGTTTCTTTGCAGCTCAGGTAGTAGCTTTGTAGCCAAGAAGCTCAACCTTAACTACTGTATCCCTCCCTAGCAGCAAAATTAAGTAGCTCAGCTTGGTTCTGCATTCATATGAATATATGCATTTTAGCTGGTTCAGCGCTTGCTTGCTGCATGTGCCTGCTGACAAGACACCGTGTGCACACATCCTGAAGAGACTGCAAACATCTCAACATCTTCCTTCCAACAACTCCATCTGAACCAGCCACAAGGGCTAAAGCGGTCAACGGTTAGTCAAGGGCTGCTAGCAGTTTCTCAGCTGGTTCAAAAGCCAGCACTATCCTTATCCTGCAGTGATTCTTCCCAGGAATGGGAAGAATCTTTACTAAATAAGGGTGAAATTTGTCTGTATGCAAAGAGATTCTGCAGAGTTTAAAAAATCCCCACTCCTCCAAACCACTGGTACATGCAGCAAGAGGACCTTTCATTCATCCTCCTGCAGGAAGTTTTTATTCAGAACACCTTATTACATTAAAAATGCTTAGCTAAAGTAATCTTGTTCTGTATTTTTTAAATATTTTATTGAGTTATATATCTGGTGTGAAAAGGTACTTGCTTCTGCACGAAAACTTTACACAGCCTCGTACTATGGGATACAGGAAAAAGTACACCACTGGAATTGTTTGCTCAAGGGACCACTGGGCCAACATAGTTAATCGTGATCCTCAAGAGGTTGCGGTACTCCCAGGGGAACATGAGCCTGCAAAATCAAACCAAACTGTGTGAACTTGTTGGATCAATTCCAGAGGAGGCCATGAAGATGATCAAAGGCCTGGAGCATCTCTCCTGTGAAGAAAGGCTGAGAGAGGTGGGCTTGTTCAGCCTGGAGAAGAGAAGGCTCCAGGGAGACCTTATTGCAGCCTTCCAGTACCTGAAGGGGCTACAGGAAAGCTGGGGGGGACTTGTTACAAGGTCCTGCGGTGACAGGACAAGGGCTAACAGGTTTAAATTGAAAGCGGGGAGGTTTAGATTAGGGATTAGGAAAGAATTCTTCCCGGAGAGGGTGGTGAGGCAGTGGCACAGGTTGCCCAGAGAAGCTGTGGATGTCCCCTACCTGGCCATCTTCAAGGCCAGGCTGGATGAGGCTTTGAGCAACCTGGTCTAGTGGAAGGTGTCCCTGCCCACAGCACGGGGTTGGAACTAGATGGTCTTTAAGGTCTCTTCCAACCCAAACCATCCTGTGGTTCTATGAACTGAATAGGATTTCTTCTGTGTAGGCTACACTTCAGTGTGACGCCAGTGCCTGTAGACCTGGGGCCAGAGGGCATCCTTCAATGCTGAGGACAGTGTCAAATATTTCGCTGTCATTATACATTGGACTAAACTGAGAGGGGAAAAGTGGATGGGGATGGACACTACAGAAGTATCAAAATATACAAAAATTGTTCCAAATAGTAGATGTTCAACTGCCTCCTAAGGCAGCGGTGGGGAGGAAAACCATCTTAACTTGCACTAAAGACAGCTTAAGTTCAGTATTAGGAAGCACACTGAAACAGGTTGCCTAGGCAAGGTGCAGAATTTCAACAACTGGAGGTTTTTAATAGGTATCTGGCCAAACTTCTTTCAGTGATGGTCTAAGTCCATTTGATTGTAAGGCACCTTTTACAAACATCTGTACAAGTGAACGGTTGTTTGCAAAAAGAATATCACATCGGTCCCCTTATAAAGCACTTGCACATCATCCACACCAGCAATGCTCACGCAGGCGTAGCTTTGTGGATCCGCAGTTACCAAACACACATGAAAGAGAGAACCCACCACATAAAAGAGCGAGCCAAACACAAAGTAGAGACCAGCAAATACTGAAAGCGGTAACTCCAGTAAGCCCGATGCGAGGTGTATTTCACAGCACAGCTGGTAATATCATTTGGACAAAGGGCAAAGTGTTGCAAGTGACAAGAGTCTGTGGATTACTTATACCCAGAAAAAGTCTATGCTTGCCTAATTGCTTCTTTTAATAGTTCACCTAGCTTGGGTATGTGTAAACATTAGTTCATGGCAGCTATTCTACTATATATGTGAAGACAACGAAGACTTTGAGGTTTCACACTGAAGAGACTGTCATGACAACACAGAGAAGAACCCACAAAAAATTCCACTATATAAGAGCAAAATTTCAAGGGTGCAGGTAGAGACAGTGAGACTACCTTTTAT